TTTTTCATCTGCTGCAGCATAAATCATTTCATACCTGCTTTTGTTGCACAGAGGAGGACTCTCACATCACGCTGAGTGTTAAGTGCTGCTGTTTGGCCTCTTGTTGTGCAGTGCAACAGGGAAACATATAGACACATGATAACAGTCTACCATTAGGGATGCACTCTGACAACAAAACAACAATATGTACACGACTTTCCATACATCATGACGTCTTTAAAACACCTGTATGTTGGTTGTTATTTATCGCAGGAACAAAGCATGAGACTTAGTGTGACGGAGCGGATCACATGAGTGACTGACTCCGCCACTGACAGCCGACACACACCCACACACACACACACACACACACACACACACACACACACACACACACACACACACACACACACACACACACACACACACACACACACACACACACACACACACACACACACACACACACACACACACACACACACACACACACACACACACACACACACACACACACACACACACACCACACACACACACACACACCACACACACATTTCCTGCTCTTTTCCTAAAAAGGAACCATGCTATTTATTATTTATTGTGCATTTGTTAAATGATTATTTTAAGAGGTGGTTAACCTGTTTATGTTTGGGTCGGATTTTTTTATGTTGACCATGTGGTTTGAGGTAATTGCGTCACCTGTTGACGGTAAGCCTGTGGGAGGGGCTATGAGTTCAAAATGGACGGTTTCGGCCCTGGAGGGAGGAGTTCACTCGGAAGAATGTTGCAGAGAAGGCAACAACAGAACATGTTTACTCTGAATGAGTGATGGACGGCCTGTTTTGGTCTTTTATTTTGTTTCTTTAAGGTGTGCTGTTTCGTTATTTTTGTGTTGCTGTTAAGAATAAAGTTTTTTGGGAGCGTAACCCAACCGACTAGGCCAGTGTTTGTGAACGGAGAAATAGAGCCCCGTCACACTTAGGCTTCTCACATTGAGGGAATCACTCTTTAGATATGAATGCAATTCATCAAAACACAAATCAATACCCAAAATGATCACTCTCCGGAAGCCGTGCATCTGAACGCAACAGAGTTGTTTGCAGCCGACTCCCAATCGATAGGCCTTTATTCATGCACTGCATATCTCAGACAGTGTGTTACAGTATTGACAGTGTTGTCTTGGGGAATCTTGCAACACCACAACACGGTGAAATCCATTTTCCCCTCACATAACGAGCTGTCATTTTCTGCTTGGAATGAGCTCTATCGTCGGCGCATACAAATAACCCGGATCCATCTGCAGAGCGGTGAGAGCGATAGCACGATAGTGATTGGTTTGATTCCACTGTGACATTGCTCTTATTACACAATACTGATTACTGCAGGGCTTTCAAACTGTACGCACGTGTTGCTTTGGATCAAACACATGTATTCCTTTTTGAGGTGACGGGAGTCTCTGCATACAAAGCAGGCTGATCTACATGATAACAGTGATAACATGATAGATGTTTAGTAACGCTGAATAATTATTGGTTTTAAAGGTGTTCTTGGCAGCTGGGCGTTGACGGGGCTTCACTCTCCTGCTGTTGCTTTCTTGAAATGCAAAAGAGCGAAACCATTCTTTTAATTAATACGATATTTTATGGGAACAGGTGAGGAAAAAACACGGAGGGGAACACAGGGATTTTAGCCTCTGCAGACCATTTACATGCACCATCCATCCATCTTCTCCCGCTTATTACATTACATGACATGTCACTTGTTAGACGCTTTTATCCAAAGCGACTTACATACTCAATACTGTGGACAATCCCCACAGGAGCAATTTGGGGTGAAGTGTCTCAGGGACACAACGACATGCTGACTGCAGTGGGGTTTGAACCTGTGACCACCTGGTCCCAACACCTACGGACAACCCACTGCACCACACGCCCCCAACTGCTACCTCCGCTTATCCGTCGGGTCGCGAGGTAGCAGTTCCAGCAGAGAGCCCCAAACGTTCCTTTCCCCTCATCAACCAGCTCTGACTGGGGGATCCCAAGGCGCTCCCAGGCCAGCGAAGAGATATAATCCCTCCACCTGGTCCTAGGTCTACTCCTTGGTCTCTTCCCAGCTGGACGTGCCTGGAACACCTCCCTAGGGAGGCGCCCAGGTGGCATCCTAACTAGGTGCCCGAACCACCTCAACTGGCTCCTTTCGACGCATTTGCATGCACTAAAACCTATATTACACAACACAGGAAAGGGAAAACCCCAGAGCATACTGTAATAGAGCCTCTTCAACAATGTGTAGAAATACCTCAAAGTGAATTGCTTTCATTTGCGTCGTCGATCACGCAGCACTTAAGAAGGCACTGAGGTTATTTGAAAGTATAAAAGTGTTAGACGTCTCTAGCTGTAAAAATCTGTTTCACTAGTTGCTGCTTTGAAATCCATTCAACACAGAAACGACCTCTCTAACTAAAGTATTTTCCACCAAAGCCACTCAGGGCTGATCTTTAGTCCTTAATCAAAACGGAGGGAAGGTTAATTATGACAGTGTCGCTCCTCGGAGCTGTGTGATCTCTCCCTGCACATTCATTAAGACGTGGATAAAAGAAATGTGGAGAAAGGCAGTCTTTGGCCTTTTGATATTTAGCCATTACAGCAATAAAACATCTCTGTCTATCCTCATCTCTTCACTCATGCACCATCACACCCACATAATGATAGATGGAGGAGAACTTTAAGACAAATGTTGCTTTACTCCGTTTGTTTTAACCTTGTTCACCCGCTGGGCTTCTCACTGATGGAGGCGAGAGCTTTGACTCGGCCAGATAACACTGGGGGTGCAATGGAACATTTTAAAGGTCTTCAAAAACATCTGTGATCAATTTAATCGTCCTCCGTTCAATCATTGCTGCTCCAAACACTTAGTCATGTCAAACTTCTGAATGTAAACTCATTGTGGGGCATTTTCTCCTTCACACATTCACCAGTACAGTGGTGCAGGGATGACAGATTTTGTATTTCCGACCTGGAAGTTAGCATCAAAGAGTTTCCTCCAAAAATAGTCAATGGGATTTTTCTATTTGATTTGGAGTATTGCAGAAACAAGATATGTGGCAAACAAACGTTAATGATATTTACAGGTTTCGTTCAGCAGGAAAATCTCCACACATTAACACCACCTTTTGTTTTTTGAAGAAAAAAGCTAATAACTAGGCTATAACTGAACTACTGTCACATGACTTCACATCACCACCGCTAAGCTAAAGGAGGCTAATGTTGGGCTAAAAGAACTACAGCACGGTCACATGACTTCACGTCGCCACCGTTAAGCTAAAGGTGGCTAATGTTGGGCTATAAAAGAACTACAGCACGGTCACATGACTTCACGTCGCCACCGTTAAGCTAAAGGTGACTAATGTTGGGCTATAAAATAACTACAGCACGGTCACATGACTTCACATCACCACCGCTAAGCTAAAGGTGGCTAACGTTGGGCTATTAAGGAACTACAGCACGGTCACATGACTTCACGTCACCACCGCTAAACTAAAGGCGGCTAATGTTGGGCTATAAAAGAACTACAGCACGGTCACATGACTTCACGTCACCACCGCTAAGCTAAAGGCGGCTAATGTTGGGCTATAAAAGAACTACAGCACGGTCACATGACTTCACGTCACCACCGTTAAGCTAAAGGAGGCTAATGTTGGGCTATAAAAGAACTACAACACGGTCACATGACTTCACGTCACAACTGCTAAGCTAAAGGTGGCTAATGTTGGACTATAAAAGAACTACAGCACGGTCACATGACTTCACGTCGCCACCGTTAAGCTAAAGGTGGCTAATGTTGGGCTATAAAGGAACAACAGCACGGTCACATGACTTCACATCACCACCGCTAAGCTAAAGGTGGCTAACGTTGGGCTATTAAGGAACTACAGCACGGTCACATGACTTCACGTCACCACCGCTAAGCTAAAGGCGGCTAATGTTGGGCTATAAAAGAACTACAGCACGGTCACATGACTTCATGACTTCTTACTGTTTTAATGAGTTTCTGGACAGAAACGCTGTACTGTTAAATATTAAATCAGTAAATTATACTTACGATGCAAACATTTGACTTTGCGTCCATTAAAAAAAGATGACATCACACCAGTATTGCTCTTCAAAACTGAAAGCAATACTTCATAGCAACATTTAATATTTATAGCAACATTTATATTTCAAGCGCACCCCCGCAGTGTGAACAGGAAAATGAAATGAAGAATCAGGGCCGAATTTGTCAAAACCAACCGGCCTCCGATTCAGATCTTGAATACATAATGTCAAATACTTTAAGCCGTTAATCTGTGAGTTTGTGTTTGTGTTCATAAAGTGTATTCCTCACTTTGCACCCGGCTCTTTGGTGAAAGCCTTAACGAGCACTGAGTCGCTGCACAACCAGGAAGTGACTCTGTGACTTCAGAGCAGTCAACACATGAATTAAATATACTGTATTTCTTATATTCCTCGCTTCACTCATGCATTGAGTGCAGGTATTTGGGAATAAGAAAGTGGAATGCAATACATTTAAATACTGTTTGAACATCCACAAATCTCTGCAGGATTTCCGCCTGCTGCGTCTTTGTTGATGTTGCTTTCCTTTAATGGCATGGAAACTATTTTTAAACTTGCAAAGTCATCGTGGAGAGCTTAAGGAAGGCGGATTAGAGAGAGAGTCTGACGGCTTCACATTTGGAGGTTGAAAGAGATGTGTTTGTTTAAATGTGCATTAGAAACCATTTTGTTATTACATTTGTGTCCTTCTCCTGAAATGTCCCGCTATGAACGAGCCAAATGTGTTCCTCTCAGTCCGTCCCCGCATAATCACATGAACATAATGAGATATGCAGTACATTCAATTACCTCATATCTAATTACATCATAATCACTTCATACACAATGTCTTTGAACCCTTTTCCTCTTCAATAAGTGGTATTTCTTACATGTGATTAACTGAATGCCCTCTCTTCTTCCTCTCAGATCTGTGTCGCCGTGCAGAGAAAACCCTCAACGTAATGAGCTAAAGGTGCGTTCTGACATTTCTCCTGTGTGTGTGTGTGTGTGTGTGTGTGTGTGTGTGTGTGTGTGTGTGTGTGTGTGTGTGTGTGTGTGTGTGTGTGTGTGTGTACTATACTTGTGGGGACCTAAATCTGTTTACACAGTCACTTGTGGGGACTGGCCTCCCTTGTGGGGACATAATGGAGGTCCCCACAAGGGGAATCATTAATTTTAGGGTGAAGGTTAGGATACGTCTCCAGGAAATGCATGTAAGTCAATGTAATGTCCCCTGAAGTGATGTATACATGGTGTGTGTGTGTGTGTGTGTGTGTGTGTGTGTGTGTGTGTGTGTGTGTGTGTTTAATCAAAAGGCTTGTGAATTGGCCTCGACACATCAGGCCCCACTTGCCTGTTTAGCATTCTTTTTAACTGGCTCCCTGTTTCAGAGAGTGAGGGTGAGAGCACACAGAGAGCTTTATCTGCAACTCTTTCATTCATTATTATTATATCAGTGAGTTTTGTTTCCCTTCCCATCGTTGCCTCTGTTTCTCCGATCAAAGATCTCTGTCCTTCATGCTTAATAGGAATGTATTCTGAATTGTTTAGCTTGTATGTGCCTACAGCTGCTTGTTAGAGAGGACTTGTTCAAATGCATATTTAATATGATCACATGCCTGAAAAAGCAGCTCACAATGCATTCGCCCTCTGGGCACGCGTTCCCAAAGTCACCGTATCGTGCACCTTACATCTAAGCTTTTTTTCATTCGACTGAAAAGTTGAATAGATTAAAGGCAGATCTAATCGATCCTGAGTGTGCTTATCAGTGGCTGGCAGGCTGACAAGCCGATTTCAGAAGAGCATATTCTAATCCTTCAACTGCGGGCAGGAAACTGGAAAAAGACAAATAGGTAGAAAGACTTTGAGACAATAGGTCAGGCAGGAACCACAGAAGAAGAAGAAAATCTAATCTTCGAATATTTTAAGTCAGACAGAAAAGTCACCTCGATTAAGGATACTACCAAGGATACAAAAACTACTCATGTCTATTTCATGATTTACTAGTGATTAATATACTGTAATGTGATTTGCAATGGCAAAATCTTTATACAGCGAGGACATCAGCTGTTATGGAAACACCGACTGTATTTGCTGACAGTTATGGCCACATTTAGAGACACTCATTATGACCATATCATCCACTGTGAGAGTAAAATATTGTCTTTTAAAACTGATATTAGTCGGACATAAATGAAGACTGAACGTTTTTCAACCATCTGGTTTCGTCTGGATAATATGTATTGTATTGTGTGCCGGTGAAAAGTGTCTTCATTGACGTCTATAGATCCCGCCGGTAACTTATCACGATTCCTGCATTCAAAGGGTTTAGCTATGCTGCGTCCTGATTGGATGTTTAGCCTTTTGACCTCGAATCCGGCATCTAAGCTCACATCCCATAAAAAGCAGCAATTCATCCGCATGACCTCTTCTGTCACGGTGACACTCAGCGGCAGGCATACTGACAATGATGTTCTGTGTGTGTGTGTGTGTGTGTGTGTGTGTGTGTGTGTGTGTGTGTGTGTGTGTGTGTGTGTGTGTGTGTGTGTGTGTGTGTGTGTGTGTGTGTGTGTGTGTGTGTGTGTGTGTGTGTTTCTTGGATTTGTAGAAAAAGAGACAGAGACAGGACAAAAAGTGCTTATCTGAACAGGTCTCAGGTCACATTATCCCCGTCTCTCCCCCTCTCTTTCTCAGATTAGTGTCTCCTGTTGGCACATGGCTGCTGAAAGAAAGCAACAGATTTATAGTTTTGTGTGTGTGCGTGTGCGTGTGTGTGTGTGTGTGTGTGTGGCTTCACGTGAATGCATTGTGCAGCTCGGGGCTATGTTTCTCAGTTATCTCAGTCTACACCAGTTTGCCACAGCAGGGGGACGTTAAGAGGAGCATCCATTCTCTCGCAGCCTGTTGTGTTTCCATGATATGGGGAGATCGTTTCTAAATTACGCTCTATTCCAGTTTACAGGCAGCGATGCAGAGTTCTTTGCTTCTGCTAAAAGCTTTAATACGGACGCTCCAAAACATTTCCATTGGGAGAAACAAGCTGCTGTTTCAAAAACAACACAAATAACAAAACACATGCAAATGAAGAAACACCTGCCACAACTTCATGAAACATTAGCGGCGTTAAGAAGACATTCACCAACTTAACGAGACAAGCGTAGGGGTTACGCAAAGCGCTGCACAAATGAAACGTTGGAAATACAAAGGTGCAAGAAGATCAAAACACAACAAAAATGGGGACACTAAAAAGTGATGCACACACAGGACGGGGACCATAGCGCTTGTTGACTTTAGGGTCCATCTAACCCAGTGCTTCTCAAAGTGTGGTCCGCGAGCGCCACCTAGTGGTCCGTGAGTATATTGGTACAATTTCACATTTGAAATAAATAAATACATTTCAGTTTTCCGCACTCTCTCGGGAATATCTCCGCAATGGAGTGAGGTTAAGTTTCACTTTTGATTGCATGATATAGCCCAGCGCAACACCTTCGTCACACATGTCGCCACTTGTTTGTACCATTTTCAGGCGATTTGTAATCTGTTCTAGAAACACGATGTGTTTTTTGATATTTGTGGAGTTCGGTGGTCCGCGAGTGTTTTTTTATTGGTTAAGTCCTTGGTATGAACATGTTTGAGAAACACTGCTCTAAGTCATATTGGAAGGATTCATCCGATAACACTGTACAAAATTAGCTGATAAAAGTTACATTTTAGGTTATTTTACAAAGTTGGCCATCGCTATAATCCACCAATATCAACAACTGCTCCAATCCCAGCTGTGTGCATCACGTTTTAGTGACTGTTCTTGATGCATGGTAAATAAATACTGTATATATTTTGAAGCGGCAGAGCTGCACACATTATGTGCAACAATGCCTGGTTCAGGGTCCAGTTCTAGTACACAATACTTACTCGGAGATAGCAGCTGATCTCACATGTTTCTGCTACATTACTGCTCTTGGCTCATGTCGTGTTTACAGCAGCATCATTACAGATTGTGTGAAGCTGCAGTGTAACGATTCCAAAAGGAGATTTGGAAGTGAGAATCCCCCTGAAACTGCAGTGAGCTCCTGCCAAAGGTTTATACCAAAGAAACGTCAAAAAGCCTGTTTTCTGATGTGCTAATGATCCAATCTGCCGTGTATGAAAGACTCTTGTGCTTTAGAAAAGTGGGTCGATCAGGTCAGGATTGCACCACTCGGCATTCGTGCTTTATTCATTGTTCCAAGGCTGGAGCACAATGTCATCTGGCAGAGGATGATTTAGTTTATTAATTATGCATTGATCGTGTGGCCACTTAAGAACGAGAACAACTGGATTTCTAATGGTATTAGCTCGGATAGCAGAGGCATGGTTGCATTATAAAGAAATCAGCTCTTTGAAGGGAACTCTTTAAATATTATCTTTTAAAAGGAAACGCGTTAAAGTTCAAGCTCTGTTTAATGTCACGGTTAGAAATGATTTCCGCAACACACAGAAACATGTCTGACATTTGCAAAACATGAGATATAGGCCTACAGTAATATAACATCAGTGGAGGGTGCAACATAAGCCCCTTGTCGAGTGTGAGAAGCAGGAGAATGATGTTAAAAGTCGTTAAACTATCAGGCTCATATATCTTTGAAAATGTGACACTGATGGGTGTCTGGGAGGAGAGATAAGGAGCAGGAATTAGGGAGGAGAGGATTCCTTTTCCAGGGATTTACACAAACACACACACACTGGGTTTTAATGCCCGACCAGTATTGATTACCCAGCAGCCTGACTGATTGAGAGCCAGATATAAAAAAGCACACATCAATAAAATAACCTGCAGAGACTGTTAAAGACACTGCCCCTCCACACCCACAAAACACACTGGATTCATTTTGTCCAGAGGTTCAATGAGATGCGGCTGTGACAGTTTTGGGATGCCAGGTCTGCAGCAAACCCTCAAAATACTTCATTTTTGTTTTTGTTTTTGGGGGGATAGTGGGTGTTTCTCAATGTCGAGTAAAGCTGCTCCAGAGCCACTATTTCAAGCATACTTTCATCGAGTGCCGCCGAAGGACTGTTCCAATGTCCAGCCAGCTTGGAATTCTACCGAGCCCGGCGTACTCCGTTTGGAGACATTTCGAGGCTGCACATGTGTAGACTCCGCGGTCTTAAAATCCCCACAATGCATTGCGCACGGAGCAATTTCCCCAAATCTGTGGCGGAAAATGTAAGGCGGGGCCTCTCATATGACGCACACCTGCACACTTGCTAGCCTGTTCCACTCTTCGTTTTCCGAATGCCAGGAAGTATTCTTGCCTCGCTTCTGAAGCAAGTGACTCGGAAGACATGTGCTACAAAGCAAGCGTACTCGACATTGAGAAATACCCGTGGTATAGTAAATCAATTCACACGACCAGCAGATTAAAACTCACTCAAACCATTTGGAAAAACAACCTCACAGTCTGCTTACTTACTTATTTCAGCTAATGTACCTTTAACACATGCAGTCAAGGTACAAGAACACTTAGTAAGTTGAAGCAGGAGGGCAGAACTTGTTTATACATTTAGAATACATCCTTCCTTTAGATCTACTTAGATTAAATGCAGCTTTATTGTCATTGCACGTAGGAGAACGAAATGCAGATTGCAACCAACAGGAAGTGCAAAAAGAGCAGATAAACCACATGAGTTTATAGTATTTTTCACATATTGATTACAGTATCAAAGTTGATTGCACATGTGAGACAAAGTAGAGATGATTAATACATATTTACAGACAAGGTGCAAAGTTGAGAAGATGGATAAATAGCAGGGCATACATTTACTTAACTGTATTTAATCATTTTTAAAGAATAACCAGACCATGAAAGTGTGTTTTCTGTTCAATAAATATATTATTGGTTAACTGAACTAATGAAAGTCAATATTAGAATTATGCCAGTCAAATATTCCTAAACTTTGATTTCTTGATGGGCAAAAACACATACAAAATAATAC